TCTGCCAAAGCAAGTGTTTTCCTACACAAAAATTGCATGTCTCTAAGAGAACATTATAAGGAATAGAAGCATTTAGACAGTTCAAGCTCTATTTAAGTTTGTGCAGGGAGCAGCGACTAACAACTTGTTAAAGCACCTATTTATATTTTATTACAAATTCCATTAAATACCATGTGCAATAACATACCATGTGTTTTAAAACCTTATCCAAGCCAACATCAGGAGGTACTGGAGGGATCACAGGCAGACCCTTTTCAAAGAACAGCATGGGTGACTTGACAGGGTCAAATTTTGAAGGAGCCCTCCACCTATTAAGAAAGACTCAAATTGGTAAATCTAATTCAGGAGATCTCCCATAACAAGATGGTAAAACATGGATTAGAATATCAAGAAATTGTTGCCAGGAACCAGCATAAATATATAGCACATTCACGAAGCAAAACACATTTCACAGCCAGTACCAAAATGCTTTAATGAGTACGTATAACTTGACAAAACCATATCCAACTTTGGCAATTTATGTGTCATTTCAGATCCCATATGAGAAAGCCGTACAATGCTTCCACCATTGGCCATTGTCATTTAACATGGAATTAGGATCCGAAAGCTAAGAACAACTTGGTCTAGCAAACAAGCACATACACATATGCTACCATTGCATGCAAATAAAAACGTTCAGCACCAAAAATCTCAAGAAATCATCAATAGTCTACAACATATCAAAAAGATAAATGAAAACTACCAGTGTCCTGTGTTGAAGATTAGTATATCATGGAAGCTTGGAGCCTTTTCCCACGTGCCCTCTGGAATATCAACATCAACTCTATAACCCTCTTTATATCCAAGAGCTTCCAACTTACCACCATTACCATTAGCTGACCACCTGCATTAAAAAAGACAGAGCGAACTACTTTAACCGCGACCATGAACAATATCAGTCCACACCATGGAATGAAATGCAACCCACAAAAGACCTTTACTTGTTTATAGTAATAAAAAGGACTTAAATCAGCTCACCTACCATAACGTGCCAAAAGATTAGTTCGATGATATGCAATTGTAAGATTATATTGAAGAAAGGTAAAGCCGCGATCAGCTCCGGCCGGACGCCATTTCTTCACTTCACCCGACACACGTTTCAGAGTGCAAAACAAAGAAACAAACATGTTTCTGTTTAAGGAATCCCCAACAAACCCTGCACTGTTGGAAATTGGTAAGGCCTACTAATCAAGGCACAACATCCCAACATAAAATCGAACATAACTTCAAAATGTAATCTTTATTTTAGGGAGTCGAGTGAAAATTAACAGAACACTAACTGATTCGATTAACTTCAAAGTTATACTAAAAAGCAACTGAATTTCGCGCGCGCGAGAGAGAGAGAAAGAGAGGAGAGTACCAATGTTAGTGTCTCTATAAGAATGAATAAACTTGACGGGATCAAACGGCGGGAGATCGCAATTCCGAGGCTTCCATCGCCACTTAACGATATCTCGACCGTTAGATTTGTTGTTCAGAATGCAGTTCCATCCTTTAAATATCTCCTTGCAGCTGCTGTCGTACCTATCGAATCTGGCATCCGGATCATAGATCCACGACCCGTCGGAGTAATCGCACGAAGACCCGTCCGACGCATCCGTGTCGGATCCAGTGGCATCGGTGTCGATGTTATTGGCGGCGGCGATGGGTTTAAATTGGAGGACTTGGGGATGAGTTGGAGAAGAGGAAATGGAGGCTTTTCTGGAAAGAGAGAGAAGTAAAAAGACTGAGACGAAGCAGATGAGAGAGAGCAGAGGGAAGAGAGATGAGAATTTCTTTGTTGCTGCCATGGCGGTTGCTGATTACCGTTTTACACTTCTTATATGAGCTGAGCTTTAGCTGGTTTTTTTTTTTTCTTTCCCTAATTCTTTTCAGTTTTTCGCCAATTATTTGGGCCAAAGCCCAAGGGCCAAATGGGCTTTCTGGAAAAAAAGCCCGTTTAGCATGCACAAATTTTGTATATTATCAATTAATCATATGTTACAATTTCAATAATAAATAAATTAAAAAACTGAGAATTCTTGACTTTTAGGCATAATGTATAGATGCTATATGTACAATGCATCAAAAGTAAACCCATGATAAAAATTATAATCAAGTTCGCCCTAATGGCAAATATCAAAATGTATACCTAGCATTAACAAAGAACTATAATCACAGCTTTCTGAAAGGTATTTTAGGATTCACCAAGGATGATACATACAATTGCAAAAACAAGATATATCATGCCGAAACTACAAGAAATATCAACATCATTGGGAAACAAAAAATCCTGGAAGACTAGAAAATGATACACAAACGCAGAAGCCAATTCGAAGGAACTCACTTCCCTGTATTATACTTCCGAGTGAAAGATCCATCGCTTGACAATTGGTACACAAAATAACAATCCAGGGTTCATTAATCACAACACTATTTACCCTTTGGGTAAAAAAAGAAGATGCTGATGGAATGCTCTTCATAATCATCGATGAGCTTGACTTGAGTGGTGACCCTATGATGCTGCAATTCTCAACCGTACGGCTTTAAGTGGAAAACTTGACAAGCTGGCCTATATGACCTCTTGGTCGAAGCTTGTTCAAACTTCTTTGCAGCAGCTTCATTCTCTTCTAGTTTCGTCTGAACAAAATATTTTATCCACCAAGATGAACTTCGTAATTTGGCCTTGATGGAAAATAGCATTTCATAGTATCAGACCCTTCTTCAAATTAAAAATCCCAGAAATTTATGGTCTCATTTCCCAGGAAAAAGAATTCAAAGCACAAACAGCATATCTAGACCCGTTATGTTTCTCTTCAAACAAATGCTACAGCGAGTACTTAAGTTGATTCAAGTTGACCTTAGACTCCAATCGAAATGCAAGCTATGTGATGAATCTATCATAGTAGCATCCATGCATGACAGCAGAGAAAGTTTTCCGAAACCACCATATATATTACTTTCCTATTTAAGGCACCAAGAGCAAACTGATTAAGTTTGCAACTACTAAATTAAAAAGAAAATAATAAATCCAAATAGAATAAAGATATCCTTCAGATGATCCATAAATAATCAATCACTTACAGGACGACCAAATTTGGATAGCTCTACAACTTTAGCTCTCTGCTGACCTGGATAACCTGCGCCCGGTATCATATATCAGCAAGATAACTACAGAACCCGAATTATGTTCCAATGAAATAAAAATTTGCAGGCAAGAATGCATATTATAAATACTTCAAAAAGTCAGGCATCATTGATTTTGTGATATTGATTAATGTAGAAATTAGCAGAAATCTTGCTGAAGCAGACGGTGAACCCAGATAAGATTTGATCAACAAAGCAGCTAAAGAAGCTCCAATTTCTTGTCACCACAAGTTTAGGTTTCAGTTTTCTTTGAATACTTGCACAAACATATACAAAAGAAAATATTTTATTTCAAACACATAAAACACAATGAGGAATTTACCAGAAAATATAATAACACCATCAGCTGATACCCTCACCAGTTCTGGAAGAGTTTTGTTAAGGTACCTAGGAGACAAGTAATCCAAGGCATCTGACACTATGACTAGGGAAAAGGATTTTGCACGGTAGGGAAGAGGAAACTTGATATCTGCCACTCGCACAATGCCTTTCCGCACAAGACTTTTGCAATTGACGTCAGCACCATATAAGTCATATGGCTCCACACCCCAGGCCTGAGTATCCTCTTCTTTTAATAATTTGGACACCACCGAACAAGAATCAGGGGCTACATGCAATACTTTATTCATGCTGTCGCCATAAGCCTTCTTTAGAATGGGTAGTGCCCTCAGAACTTCTAGCGTGCATGAAGAGCCACCTGCAAATACATCAAAGTATTCTACCAAATCAAAATCTGCAATATGGACTCCCTGGCTTCTTTCTTTTATGGGAATGGGCACCCAAGGCAGAGAATCAATTGAACAGTTGCAACATTGAATCCTCTAGAGTAAGATTACAACTTCACCCTAACAATTACAACTTTACAAGTGCTAGTGAAAGAAAAAGGTATGTAACAGTAAATTATTTCTAGAACTGCAGATCATTGATACATTTCCAAAATTTAGGAAAAGCATTTAGGCAGCCATTATGAGTTTGACAATCCCATCTACAAATCATTTGTAATATAAAATCAGCAGAGATTTCAAACTGGAAATATTTGGAAACATTTTTGAAAGTGACTCTAACAAAACCCTCCCATAGACTGGGGCATCATCAACCAACAATCCATCGTGTTCAATATCCAAATCATTCAGAAGCTTGGAAACTAAAACAACAAGATATCATAAGCAGTTACCTTCAGTTTTACTTAATGCCTCTTTTTCACGGATGGATCCATCTGTAACCAAAAAAATTGAAAAATTGAGAAAAAAACCCATGTAACTATGAGTAAAGTTGGAAACGACAATGGCTAATGGTTTTTTTATATTGGTTAGCATGACATAGAGATCATTTCATGAATCTTTGCTAACTCAACTATTGCATCTGAGAAAGAAAAGTTTAATGAGGACAGGAAGAGACACAAACCTGAACCACTATGCAAATAGCCAATCAGAAGAATTGCACCCTGAAAGTTTCAAGGAGCAATTTAGTCATATCCTTGCATTCAAAGCACACTTTATAGTAATAATGTTCAATGCAGAAAGCTAATAGATCGTGAACTATGGTGAATAAGTCAATATATTTGGCAGCAATTGCACGCTTTCGGATGCAAAGAATGCCACCTTGTAACAGAAGAAGTCTTAACACAAAGGGGCATAGATGAAGAAAAACAAAGAAGAGAAAAAAACAAGATGGAAGTCGAAATTACCACAACCAAAAGCCCAATAGACAACAAACGTGTTGAGCGTGTTTTAGACTGCACTGAGCCCACAAATGGGATGCTTCCACCATCAGCAAAGCGTCGAGCAGGATTTACAGGCCTCCTCGACATGGTTACAAGACTGCAAAAGCATAGCAACTTTTTGTTAATGACATAAAGAACTAATCAAAGAATCTTCAACCCAATGCAACTGCATTGGCTACATTACTGTTCCTAAAGCTGCATGATCATAATCATGATTTCCCACTTCAAATCAACAATCAATTAACGATTAGCCGCCATCAAATCCAATATTTTCTCATAATCTACCAAACCCAATTCTCCTTTTTCTCACTTAAAAGCCATGCTACAGCTAAAATTGTACCTAACATTCGTTAAAAAGAAATAAAAAAAAATGAAAGCTAACACTGTTGCATTCACGTTCAAGTAAAGTACAGTTTACATAAATGAACACCCGAAGTTTACCTGAAAACAAAGGATTGGAAGAAGCGGAGTGAGAAATTTTATGGGGCTTTTCTGGGAACACCGATCCAGATCTGTATCTGGTCTTTACTCTTTGAGTCTCTCAGTGAGAAATTTTCTTACTAGCTTTGACTCTGTTCTCCCATTTTCTAAAATTAATAAAATAATACTATAAATAGTGTTTACTAATTGGTTTTTATTTTGACTTTTTCTTTCTTTTTTATTTTGATCAGAGTAGCCATTGATCTCACCATCTATTCCATTTGGCGTTGGAAGAGATAGAGAAGATTCCCTCCCCGAGACTCCGACATTGGCCAGCAGGTTTACCTGCGCACCCTGCTTACGTTAGCGCACATCTTTCCATTTTTACAGTTTTGCCATCTCCATTAAAATTATAAATAATCTTTTAAATTTGGAAAATAATATATACCAATAATAATAATTTTTTTAATTATCAACGTATTAAAGATATATATTTTACTATGTGATTTATGCTTCTTCTAAACTTATAATTAAGGTTTAGTAATTAATGTTCAAGATTTAAAATTCAAAGAACAATATTCGTCATTTTTAATTATCAATGTATTAATGAAATATATTTCACTATGAGATATATGCTTATTTTAAATATATATTTAAAATTTAAAGTACAATCTTCATCATTTTTAATTACCAATAGATTATATATATATATATATATATCTAAATCTTTAAGATTTAGAGTATGATGTTCATTCATTTTTAATTATTAACAGATTAAGGATAAATATTTCATTGTGTGATTATAGTATATGCTTCTTCTAAACTTTTAATTACAGATATTGTAAAGGGGAAGGACCATTTCTTTTCAATGTGTTGAAACCAAAGCCATCCTGCATCTACTCAACTATCCATCTACAAAAGAAAGTTGCCCAAAATTGTATATAGTCTACCATTTCATCTAAACTTGACTCATTGCATCAGTCATGAAATTGCTTGGTCCCCCTTTTGATTATAAATTTGACTATACTTAAAGAAAAAGTAATCCTCCAAGGTACTTAAAGGCAAACTAATTTAAACATAGATCATTCAATTGGCGGTGCCTAATAGTAATATCATCATTTAATACGATCGTCTTTATTTATTAAAAACAATTATTTATGATTTTCATTTGAACATGCAATGTAATGCAATATAATAATTTCAGTTAAAATTTTATATTTTTATTTTTGACTAAATAAACACAACCATAATTAGTTGATTTTTTCATTTTTTATATTAGTGTTTTGTTAATATCATGTGAATAAAAAATAATAAATATTATATTAATTAAAAATAATTAATTAATTATTGATCATAAAGATATATTTAAATAAAAATAAAATAAAATTTTAATTAATAAAAAATTAAAAATTTTTAAATAATTCAAAAAAAATTTAAACATATTTCATTTTGCGGATATCTATAAAACACTTATTAAGATGAATCGATCGGTTTTTCAAATTAAGAAACGATTGCGATGGATTTATCAAACTTTGCAAAATCAAAAGAAAATGGTGATGAAAATCACTCCCCGTTAATCACCCACCGGCGGGCAAATTTGAATCAGAACGTAGTGAATGGTATCACCCAGAAAAACCAACATACATAATTTGACCCTACCGAACCCGAAAAGGCATGCAATGGCAATGCGGTTGTCGTTTGAAGATCATTTGGCAGGGCTGGTGAACCGTGTATGGTGACAGGCTACCGAATGGATGTCATTTTCGATTTGCTTTGTCCGATAAGACATCAGAATCTGTTTCTAAATCCTCTTTACTATCTACGGTTTCTGTCTGGCAGGCCAAGAGTTGTCCATGCCATTGCCATACCATGGATTCCATGTACTATTTTCATTTTAAAATATATAAAAAATAATAAAAATATTATTATAATCATATCATTATATAATATTAATATATTATTTATTATTTTATACTACAAAATATTATTATAAAAAGTAAAAAATATAATAAATTATATTATTATGTAATATTAACATATTATATCATCATTTATTATAATATGTCAATATGACTTATATAATATAAAATAATGAATAATATTTTAATTTAAAATTAATAATTGATTATAAAAATTTATTTAATTTAAATAAAAATATCAAATTTTATTTGATTTAAAATAAAAAAAATAAAATTTTAATTAAATATAATAAATTTTTTAAATAATTTATAAGCTTTTTTAAATATTATACATATAATAAATATCATGTAACAGGACGATCAATTGATAATATTCATTAAATCTATACTCTTTTACAAAACAATAATAATAATTAAAAAAAATTACTTAGGTTTTACCAAACTATATATATGGTCTCAAATCAAGGATAGGTATTGAAATTACGTAGATAGATAATTAATTTGGTTTGACTTGCCGTATAAAAATGATTTGTCTGTTAATAATGATTAAGCAAAGGAAAAGTGGGAAAACAAAGGATTGGAGCTGTCCTCCGTTGATAAATTTTTTGTGTCTTTTATCATGACTCGATACACACAACATAATCAATTCCAATTCAATTGAGACTGGGTGGTCACCTATAGCCATTGGCGTCCTACCTAGCTCATCTGGGTTCTACTTCGACCCCTTCTTTGCCCAAATTTCCATTAAAAACTTAGAACTGATGGGTGAGCTGTGCATGCCACGTGGCATCCATGGGTTAGCACCGCCCAGGGCCCGGGCCCCGGCCACCTGCCTCCTCCCCTTGGTCCTCACCCTTGGGAAGAATTTTTCACGTTATGGACACACGTTGTTTAATTTTACAGGAGAATTTAACGGGTCAAATGGTTTGATCAACATTAAAATATAAACCCGAAGAAAAAAACAATTTGAGTTGTGCAAAATCCTAGTAAATATTATCTCGAGACTAAATGACAAACAGGTGTGTGCAAATCTCTTCTTTTAATTCTTCATCTCATCAGAATCAAAAGGGTTCTCGGACATATCTTACGAGATCTCACCGCTTTTACACTGTAACAAATAAAAGAAAACCTTTCCATCTCTTCTCCACGTAATAAGTACTTTAATAATTAATAATCGATGAAAACAGATAAAAATCTATTGAATTGATATTTTTGTATTATTTTTATTTTTTATTTTTACGGCTTTGGACTTATTTCATGGGGCCATACAGGTCTCACACTACAGAAGATAAAAAAACGTTCCAGTTTCATCACCATGCACTAAAGGCATTGATAATCGATAATTAATTAATTAATAAAATTAAAAAATAGATTTGTTTGATAAAATAAAATATTTTATTTATTTTTTATAATAATTACTAATATAAAAAGTTGCTAATTGAATTAAATTATTATTTGTTTCAAAATTCTTAGCATTATATTTTATTTAATTGTTAATCATAAATGTGAGACCTTTTAAAAGATGAGATACACATGAGTGTGGACCATGATCCATGAATTCAATGCTAGTGACGTATACCGATTTACATGACGTGAAAGGAAAAACAATCAAACCATCTCTTTTGCTTGCATCACCGTTTAGAAATAAACTATATAAATCTGTTAACTTTCTCTTAATATTTTTAAATTTTTTAAATAAAAATTATATATTAATTAATAAATTAAATATTCAAATATTTTTAATTTTATTGATTGATAAAAAACTAAATATTTATATCAATAAATTAATCCAAAACCTTACTTTTTATTTTTTGACTTAATTATTAAAAAAATTTAAATGAGTTGACAATGTGATAATGTAATAATTAATATATTTATCTCACATCTCACATTAATGATCATGTGATTATGTTATATATTATATATATAAAGGTATTTTTAAAATTTTTATTATTATGTAATATAAAATTTAAAATATATAATTTTATTTTTTTAATCAAATCAACTAATAAGTAATTAATTACTATTTAACAAGTCTTTATATAAAATTTTAAACTCATCCTCGCATATGAAAAAAAATCCACTGGAGATGATGTATAATCATTTTTTTAATACAAAAATCGGTAATCTTTAGAAAAATCAATCAATCAATCCTCGATTTTAATATTAATTATTATTTTATATTTATATGATATATAATATAATAATATAATATTTAATGTGTTTACTCACTTATTACATGACGATGTCATAATTTTTTTATATAAAAAGTACAGGAAAAACTTTACTTACTATTATATGTAAGAAACCAAGAAGCGTTCCCTCGAGGATCGATCACAGTCTCCATTAAATGGTTGAATAAATCAATCTCTTCTCCCTTAGAAGCGATAAACTCAAAAGTCACAACTGTATAGAACGGGAACCGCATATTATTTCCAATACAGCCAGAAAAGCATACCCCAAGGGGCCACACGTCACTCTGTAACCGGACCCAAACTCAAACCTTAACCTTTTCACGCCAAATCGGCGGCTTGCTCTACTTTTTTCATTTTACCGGCAAATCTTGAGCTATTTATCTCTCGTTTCTGTTAACAAAGCCACGAACTCCTTGGCATTCTCTCTATAACGCCAAGCTCTTTACAGTTTTTTATTTGCTTCAGCAATGGCGGAGGTTGGTCAGCTCTGTTTATCATTTCTCTAGCGAAACCAGGCCTTGGCTTTCTTTTTTTGGGGTTTGTTAGGTTGTTTTGCGAGAGAGAGAGGAGGAGAGGGAGAGAAATTGAATGGCGGTGGAGTACAAATGTTGCGAGACGGATTTCTTTATTCACATATTGATAATAGTATTGTTGGTGCTGTTCGCTGGGTTGATGTCGGGGCTTACTCTGGGCCTTATGTCCATGAGTCTCGTTGATCTTGAGGTTCTTGCTAAGTCTGGTACTCCCAAAGATCGTAAACATGCTGGTATTTCTTCATTTCCTCCATTTTTTTTCCTTTCTTTTTATTTAGAAATGGAATTGATGCGTTATTTATTTTTTTCTCGAGGAAATCAAGGGAAGAAATAATTTGAATCTTTTACTGTGTAGACGATGGCAATGATGTGGATGCCTTAGCTTTACTTGAAATCTTTGCTCTATTTTAGTTGATGAAAATAATTCAGGAAAGGTTGATGTAAAGTTATCTGTTTTTCTGATGATTTAGCTTGTTTATTTGAAATTTATGTTTTTTTTAAAGAAATTAAGTGAATGAGAGAAAAGAAAGGAATTTAAGAATTTTACGTAAGGGTTTTACTACATGAGAATTTTTGTTCCCAAAATGCGGCAAAGTTGGATGGATAAACTTACAAATTACATGACAAAACTGGATAGCGATCCTATAGTTAAGTGATAGTTAATGATGGGTAGTGACAATTATTCTCAAA